AAGCACTCAGAGGATTTTGGGGTTTAGGGTTTAGGGGTTAGGGGTTTCCCTTCCAGGACCCTCCTTGTACCTTTAATTGGGGATATATGGTCCCTAATAGTGGGTACTTAAGCCCTAATAGAGGGTAGAAGGAGGGTCTAGGTATGCGGGTCCTTCTACATGTGGAGATTTCCCAAAATTAGGGGTTCCTTTTTTGGGGGGTCCCTAAAACAAGGACTACAATATTTTTGGGTCTATATTGGGGTCCCCTCTATTTTGGGAAACTACCATGTTCGTCTTTTGCCTCTAGTAACGGGTGGCGGGATCACCCTTTGTATGCGTGTTAGAGACGCTGTGCTTGTAAACAACCGAGCTGAACTAAGTCCAACGCCTTTTGGAAGGTTTACTCGGGAGCTTCTCCAAACACATGCCTCCAGCAACCCCTATGAAAATACACACTTTGGGGTAGATTATTGAAAGCTAGGCATAAGGGGATAATTAATACTTACAGTCATTCCGGTGCCAATGCCCTAAACTCTAAACCCTTCTACATCACTCCTGCAAAAACTCAAGCTCCTGAGCAAAGCCTTGTTTGACAATATCACGGGATGGGACCCAAAGCCGTACCCGTGTGAGCTATAGTCTAGACTCCAGAAAGGGGTTTTTAGAGGGGATTAGGGTTTAGGGTTTATAGGGTCTAAACTCCCTAAAGGGGGGCTATATCTAGGGGCTTATATATGGAAGTACTATCGGGGCTATTAAGGGGGATACTAGGAGTTCAGACTATAGCTCGTGTGGCAAAAGGACACCCCACAACTGCTGGACGGTCCTGGTCCCCACTAAACTAACAGCGAAGCCTGTAAGGCTCCCTATAAGAGGACTGCAGCCGTGATGGGGCTCTTCTGTGGGGATTCCAAATTAGTTCGTTTGCCAGTATTGTCCCTAGTTCCTCTGAGGTAGATACAATATGGCTTGGGGTAAATTATAGTAAGATCCCCATACACCCCATAATCTATCTACTTCAGGGGGACTGTACGTAAGCTGAAAAAGCTCATCATCGAGCCGGAAGCAGTGCAAATCAAACCACAAAACTCTCGGTCGTATGTAGTAACTCACCCCGTGGTAGTTCGATAGAGAGCCCCCCACCCTAAATCCCAAGCCTCAGACCCCAAAACCAAATCCTACCAGCCTTCAGCCGAAATCCTGAAACCTAAATATTGGGTACTGTTCCCACTCAGTAACACTTGGGCAGTACCTATAATCTAACAAGATATGGGGTTTCCCAAAACTAGGGGTACCTTCTTGGGGGTCCCCATAATACGGATTCTAATATTTTGGGGTCTATATGAAGTCCCTCTGTTTTCGGAAACTACCAAAGGGCCCTTAATCCTAAAACCTAAACCCCAAATCTGTGCGAAACTGTGCTAACTCTACTGGAGCCGGTTCCCAGGCTGTACTCCCAGCAGAAAAGGCATGCTTGCATTACTCATTAAGATGATTTTTTTGGTGATCCCACAACCCCCCCCCCCTCCCACCCCCCCCCCAAACAAAAAAAAACAAAACACACACACACACACACGCACATAGCAACGTTTTGTGTTTCGGGTGTGGGATTTTCTTGTTTTGGGGGGAGGGGGGGCTTGGCTTTCTGGGGTAGATCGAAACAGTTACATGTGGGTTTCGAAGAACGAGGTGCCCTTTTGGGGGGTCCCTCGCAATAAGGGTAATTATTTAGGTGGACCCCCCACCGTCTAATAGTGACTATAATTGATAATAAGGACTATATTTGGGTCCTCTCATATTCCTCTTATTCCACTATTACAGGGTGGGGGGTCCTCCTAAGCAATAATGCAATGCGGTATTGAAGGGAGTCCCCCACTTTTGAAGACTCACGAAGAGAACCCACTGGAAATGACGTCTAGTCGGATTTATAAAGGCAGTTTATGGGGGAATCTAAGAATGTAGAGTAAGGCTGCTTTTGGTAATCCAAACCCCCCAAACTACGACTCTATATGCTAGCCAAGGCGTATTACGAGTTCTGAGATATCTATTTGTGCGGTATAGTTTTTGCTAAGTGCTACCTTAAACCCAACCTATGCAAGCAACCTTCCCGCAACAAGGAATCTGTCGGAAAATGCAGCCCAGTGTCAGTTTTCTTCTGCATGTGCTGGATGGAGCTGGAAACCTGCAAATGCAATTTGAACAGGACTATATGGAGCATCAAACCTCTTATAGCAAGGGCAGGGCTAAGTACCAAACATAACGCTCACGAGTACATTGGGAGAAGCGTTTTTCATGCACTTACAAAACATAGACCTTATCGTCCCCGATGTAGATTTTCATACACCCTAAGGGTCCAAGGACACAAATCACAGGGTTTTTTGGCCCAAATACACCAAGATTAATTTATTCGGGCTTAGTTGGGTCCTTGAGCGCTCAGGGAAAGCCACTTGCTAGTGAAACGTTCTTCACAAGGCCCTCGAGTTTCGGATTTAGGGTACTGGAGGCATAGCCTTTAGTGACAAAAGAGGCCCATCTGCCCTTGAAGAATCTGGTCCTTCTTTTCGATGTCCGGTACCCAGAGAGTAGCCTAAATGGTACTAGGACACTAATATGATTTAGGCAATATTCTTAGTTAAGGGGCATTGGGCTTCCTGGGTATGGCTGTCACACAGTTAGCCTTGTTGATCTTGAGCTTTACGCTTTCCAGAAATCACATAGGGACGGGTACGTTCTGAGTTCAAACGGGATGGACTGAGCGGACAAAAGAGGTAACATGGGTGCCGAATTTTCGCTGAAACACTGAACCCTAAACCCCAAACCATAACTTACATGTCGGGTATTCAAGGCAGATCAAGGTTAACCTTTTCCCCAAATCTTATCCTTCTTACGTGATTTGCAGTTGACTGCTAACACCTACCGGTCATGAGCAATAGGAGGGATCTGCCAAAAGTTCGGACAGCGCATCCAATCTTTTTCTGGCACTCAGCTTGGACCAGCTGTGCCGCCGTACCGCCTCACGCCAAGGAGAGACACTGCGGATTTCTGCATTTCTAGTCCTGATCTCGTGATTTCTGAAGTTGTTGTCAAGACACAGCTGCGTTTGGGTGCCTCGAACTGGCGACAGCGCAGGAGATCGTACCTGGGCTGAAACGAAACTCAAATCCGATTACACTGGGCAAGTGGCATTTGGTTGGTGGTTGGAAAAACCATAACCAAGGACTCAACGCAGCATGTTCGATGTTGCAAGAGCCTATTCGCTTATCCAACGTTCAGCAAGCAGCGGATATCTGATCCAGGTAACCCGAAGTCTCCATTCCATATGGCCCTGTAGTTTTGGGGGAGTGTCAGTTCACAGAATTCCAGACCCCATACCCAAGGTACTTGCCTACTTATCCAGCATTGAAGCTTGCCTCAAACCTCTATCCGACTAATTACTGGTCGTGTGCCTTTCTACATTACTACAGTTGCACAATGAAGCTGAACTCAGTCAGCAGAGGCTCTCAAGAACTGGTCACGGCAGAAGTGGCTTCCAAGTGGGATCAATTCCCAATGTCTCCATTGTAATTATGACTCAAGCCCCGATACTCTCCAGGTGACGCGTCAGGTTGTCTTAGCAAGCCCTGTATTTTGAAAGCGTTCCTGAGGCTTAGGGTTTAGGGTTTAGAGGGCAAGTGGCATTTGGTTGGTGAGTATCCCGGGAAGCACATGCGTACCTTAGATTGTTCAACTATGCAATTATTCCTGTAAAGCCCTGAACCGTAAAAATCGTTCGCCCGAGTCGGACTGCAACCCGAAGCCCATTGCCAAGTAAAATTTGCAGAGGCCATGCCTTGCTTGGCATAGGCCATGCCTTGCTTGGCATAGGTTTGCCAGAAACACTCTGGTTCACCTCATCCACCACACCAAAGCTCTGAACAACACTGCCCAGAATCTAAGTTTAGGGTAAGGGTTTGGGGTTTTAATCCATACCCCGTTAGCGGCCTTGAACGCTACACCCGCAAAGAATCTAAGCACATCATACCTATAGAACCTGGTGAGGCCCGAAACCAGACCACATAGACCCCTTCGATCATTAACCTCAGGGCGCCGCCAAGCCGCGCAAAGGCTCTCACACGAAGTGCCTGGGAGCAGGCAGTCAAACAAATACAGACTCAAACGACCTTGCGCAACTGAAGCAGCTGTGCAGTACATGCGACGAGTTGAGAGTGACCACGCTTAGGGAATAGTCATCCAATCGTGTCGGATAGCACTTAAATAATAGATGTCATACATATGCCTGCAGCGGGACACAGCACCAAGCACTTTGTCAGTCTTGCCATTGCAGAAGCATGTTCGGTCGCAGCGGCCACTCAGACGTTGAGTGGACCACTCTTGAAAAATGGTCTAAATCCGAGTGAGGCTCAAGGTTCTCGGAGTGAGTGATATGAGCTATCGGTGCTCCAGCTTATGGCTGGTCCATGGCTTCTCTGAGTGATACAGGCTATGGCCAGTCCGAGCCCGCATTAGGTTTAAGCCTTGGAGCAGCCATTGCCCACCTCACTCAACGCAGCCATGTAAGCATTGCCCATCTCACTCACCGCTGTTGCTGCTGCTGCACCCCGCAGCTTCCTCGCCCTCGCCGCCCATGTCAGCCCGCTCCACCTCGCTGAGTTCGCGGGAAAGCTTCATCTTCCTGCGCTTCAAGGAGTCCAACTCGCCTGGGGGCCCCACACTCAAAAGAAGTCTGAAGCTAGATTTTAACCAAGAGCTTGGCAATGCAACCGGGCCACGCTCCGCGATATGGATGTCCCTTTCCAAATCGAAAATCAATGCCATTTTCGATTTTGCCTTAATGCGTTCCACCCAATTCGTCCAACTTGTCTGCATATCCACCGTGAAGCTGATCTGCCCAAGGATGTGGGAAGTGGACTCCCACACGCAGTCGGCTGGTATCTTGCAGTAATCGCTCATGGGCGTCTTTGTGCGGACGACAGAGCCGGGCATGATATCCCTGCTCTGCTTCATGATGGCAATCTCCGTGTCCGCCCCAAGGCTCACCCAGAATCCCCAGAGCGCCGCAGTGCCAGGGCTTCCGAAGAACAAGTCCCAGGATTGCTCATCATCGCCTTTCATGGTTTTGGTTGACTTCGTGACCAAGTTTTTCAGGATGCACGTCTTGACTTGGAACTGCTTTTCAACAGACTCCAACTTGTAGAAGTTCCACACCTTGACGTCCGGGCCTCAGCACAAGTCACCACAACATACCAGAGTAGACTACTGAAGACCCTATCTGCTCAACTCGTTTGCAATCAAAGATGCCACCATTGCAATTCACATGCATCGTGGTGAGCCATGTGTCCATCTGCAAATGGGACTGGGCCCACTCCGGATGCTGCAGCTTGAAGAGGGGAACGATGACCAGGTCGTTTTCGTAATTCACCCAGCCCTTCTCCCAGGCGTCTTGGCGGTTCGCCGCAGCTATGGTAAGCTTGACTATGCGAAACGTCGACCGTTTCAAGATGCCGTTCAAGCACTCTGCTCCAGCTTTGCGCTTCTTTGCAGAGCCCGGATCTCCGTCCGACATCTTGAAGCCCAACCTCGATCAAAAGTCATGCTCAGGGTGTACTCCTACTCTTGTTGGACCTTTGCAGGCAAGGCACCCTCTCACCATGCCACGAAACTCCGCAGACACCGCCTTGGCCACCGAGGGGAAGAAGGTCACCTTCTGCTGGGGATTCAGGCTCAAGATGTCGCAATCCTGAGGGAAGGCTATATACGCGATCGAGTCGGCGCAGGCCATAGCGATTGCGACTGCGCTCGGACGATGGAAAGCCTGGAGGCGTCAGAGCCTTGCTTCGAGAAAAATCTGGCCAATATTTCGGTTTAAGCAGGCACCTGCAAAGGACTTGCGCAACTCTGGCATGGCAACATGCGTTGGCACACCGAGCTTTCATGTCCAGATCTGCAAAACTCGGATCCCTCGAGTGAGGATCCAAAATCAACGGACGAAGCTCAGGGCGAAGTCTCTCGCACATCTGCACGGATATTCTAAGTCTAAATTTTCTCTAGACTGCATTTACTCACCCTGGCGTGATTGCCGGCACGATGCCTTAGCAAAACTTGCCTCAAGCAAAGCCTGTCGAGGCTCATTGCTCGTCCCCACTGGCCGAGGACTCAGATGAACAGGACTCTGACTCGCTCTTCTCAGTCTCGTCTGTCTTCTGTTTTTTGGCCTCTGTGGGCTGGATCTCATCGGGCACAGGAACTGGGTCTGCCACCACATCACCTGACAGGCTTGTTGCCCGCCTCAGTTTGCGTCCCCAATCTCGGCACCCCTGGCACATGTCGGACACGATGCGAAATGCCAGGAATTCTCGCATGACCTGCCGACGCTTTTCGCTCAAAGCTGCGGCCCTGTAATCATACAAGTTCCGGAGGCTCGCGAGGGCAGCATAACCCAGATCTGCGGTATGATGATAGATCCTAAGTTGGTTCCACTTCTTGAACTCATTATTGCACGCAGGTCAGCATCAGCCTCTGGACAAGCTGCTGCACTTGGCCATCAGCCGCACCCATCGAGTTGAAAATCTCATCCCACACATTCTCTGGCCATTCCCATGGGAAAACCAGGTGCCCCTTCTCCTCCTCCTGGTCGCCATCGAACTCAGCGGCCATCTCCACCGTTGATCCAGAGGCCAAGCTGGAGCGGGCCTCTGCCGTGACCCGCACCGGATCCCCATTCAAACTCAAGCCGCTCAAACCGCGGCTCTGATTCCTCAGTATGTGCTTACTTCACTCATGCATGGAACCCCGGGAATCAGTCGAGACTCGTCGAGGGGACATCGAAGTGCTTGCGCGGGGTGACCGCAAGGTTCTGCTTGAACAGGTTGCCCATCACACAGATCCCAGACTCCAAGTGATCAGGACACTGCAGATTCTTACTGGTGCATCTCTTTCGCACCGAGCCGCCATCCAAAAACTCTCCTCGAAAGCAAGCCCACAGACTCAGAAGCCACATGATTTTTCACGCACAGCGGCTAGGATTGCTAGAGAAGTCAAGTCGAGGATCGGTTGTGGTAGTGGATTCGGAAGACTTCGTACTTGCGCGCTGGCAGGTCCTCTTTGGCCACAAACTTCAAGTGCGCATTCAGCTGCTTAATGACCTCCTTGTCATACTTGCGGCTACGGCCATCGAAGATGAGGCAGGCATCAGTCGACCGAAACGGCGATGGGCTGGCGGCGTCCGAGCCGAAGATAGAGGCTAGCGTCAGCTTGAGTTTTGTGGTGTCCAGGGCTGGACCATAGCGGAACGGATAGCGGATCGCTGTCTCGGAGTCCGAAACGGACATTGTTTTGCCTTACTACTTGTCAGTTGTCAGAGTATCCAGGCCAGTTCAATTAGAGATTACAGGCTACTAATTTACCAAGGTGCAGTCCACGACATGCAGGATGGGAAGCCTTTCGGCAGCGGTGTCCATGTCCAGGTTCCCGGTAATGATATTGGCCGTCTTGGCGCCTTTTTCCCCCAACTCGAGGCTGCAACAATGCATCCTGTGTATGCATGAATTAGTTCATCAGTCCGAGGCGCTGGTGCACGCCTGCATGAATGCTTTATCCCAGTCATCTTGCTGCAGCCTGTCCAGCATGTCCTGCTGGCAGCGGCTGAGGAAGAGCAGCGGGAACTCTTCGGATCTTCCCGGAGTGTGGTCAGTGACAGCCTCCGCCTCGACAAGCGGATCTGGCACTGCAGTCTCCTCCGGCGCAGATTCTTTTGTAGTCTCCTCTGGGTTCACCTCTTTGACGACCTCCTCGGCCTTGGCCGACGCAGGTGGCGCTGGCGGCTTTAGCCATATGGCCACATCGTTCTCGAGCATTTCCACATCGATAGGGAAAGTCTCTTTGTCGGCGAGGAGCCGCTCTGCCGGAACCAAAAAGTTCTCTGCCACTTGCTTGTCGATGGCCTGGTCATACTTCTGGGCACCACTCAAGACGGCGGCCAAGAATTCAACGATCTCCTGGTAACAAAGCCAAATGGCCAAATGCCTTACTCTTAGATCATGTCTGAAATGCTCCGTCCTGCATGAAGTCCGGGAGCTCCTTCAGCCAGCCAAGGTGAGGCGCCTCGCGAAAGATAGCACCGCAAAGCCCACTTTAAAGGAAGTCTTTGAAGCTCGTGAAGGTGACGTGAGCACCTGGCCAACATAACTGGTGCACCCTCCTACTGCCGGCACTAACCCGCACAGGCCTGTGCAGGAGACCGTCCTGCAGTGTACTGCGCCCCGTCCTGGAATCAAGGAAGTCTATACGACAAGCACATCTTCACCAACTGACAGATCACCAATGTTTCTCCTTGTCTGCTGGCTTGAACCGGGCCACAAAGTAGGCCACGATCCGCCGCTTTGCCAGCGACCGACCAATGAATGGAATCAGCTCATGTCGCTTCATGCTGGCATCCACCTGCCAGGCATAAATTGCTGCTACCAGGGTTGGAGGCCTCAGACCAGTTATTGGGTTTGGGGTTTTTTAATATTGAGCTTGATTTGTCTGCAAAAGCGAGAGAGAGAGCAAGGCGAGCCTCAAGGGGAGGGACACCGGCCTGGGTAGTGAGAAAGGCTTCAAGACAAAAGCTATCCCTCCTTCCTCCCTCCCTCCATGCCTCCCTCCCTCCCTCCCTCCCTCCCTCCACGCCTTCCCCCCCTTGCCTCCCTCCCAGGCTCCCTCCCTCCTCTCCTATCTATCTCTCCCTGTCACTCCCTCGCCTGAGAGTCCAAGTTGGGCCTAGCGTTAGAATGAGGCGTGGGGTTTAGGGTTGTATTTTGGGATTCATGGGTTAAGGTTTAGGTTCTGGGCCTACAGTGTATTGTGTTCTACATTCCGGGGAGTTCCAAATACCCTGTGTAAATAGAAGCATCCCTCTCACGGGTCCATGCAGTCTGCTTGCGCAAACTTATTCAATTCATAACCCCTAGACGTATTTTGGATTTGGGATTCATGGGTTATAAGTTTTAGGTTCTGGGCTACAGCGTATTGTGTTTTACATTCCGCAGACTTCCAAATACCCTG